ACGAACTAAATAATAATAATAATAATAAAAAGAGAAAAAAAATAAAGAGCCAACAGAGAAGAATGCAAGACTCGAGTATTAATCGAGCAAAGGACTCGTTTGCGAACGACATTATTGTGATAATTATACGTAACGCTTTCGTGAAACGGTCTCACAGTTCGTTACTTAATTACGCACAGTAGAAAATGTTGTGAAGCAGTACGTGTGCACACTACCATTTTCCGATCGTCAGTCTCACGTAAAAGAAATGAAAATGAAAAGAAAAGAAACCGCGCGTCACACACACACGCATTACTACAAACGGATTTTTGCTTCGACGAGATTGAGGTTTTTGAGATGAGAAATAAAACTCTGTCGATTCGTTTCTAGGTTCCACGTGGTAGTCGTTTATATTCTTCTTTCGCTGAGTCGTATATGTCGAACGTCAAGAGAGAGAGAGAGAGAGAGAGAGAGAGAGAAGAAAATGTGTGTGCGGGGTCGCGAAACGAGATGTTTAGGCATTCGCAGTATAATTGTTGTCTTTGCCCTTCTGAAACATTGTGAATGCTTACGCTCTCCTAACTACTGTGTTGAACTGACTGCAACACCGTTGCGCGTCAAAACGAATAGTGATATAATAATAGGAAGCGTATGCTACGAGTATTGGACAATTCTGAATACTCATACATTGCGTACGCCCTCTATTAAAACATCCTGTTGCTTCGATTCTTCTTCGAAACTTGCCTTTCCGTCGTGGTTGATCAGGTATACCAAGCTTTTGTCTTATGGGTACACAGACTATCGTTTTTTTCTTCCTTCTAACTGTTGATGGTTAGAGTACAGTCTCTACTAGGTTTTTTTTTTCTTCTCAGATAGCAGCAGAACTATTTATTGCAAGCATATTTCACGCTTTCACCGATCACCGGGGCTGCTTCTTTTTTTTTTTTTTTTTTTTGTACACGCAGAAGAGAAAAATTGCATGCTGAGAATCGTCTGACTGTAAAGCGACAGAATTATAGGGTAACCCTTTGAACTGTGCTACATTTGCGTTTCAGGTATTAAGAAAGGGACGAAGACGAGTGATGAGAAAAATCGATAAGCGTCGAATATGCATATCTTTTTTAAATACAAAAAAAAAACCGAATCTCCAACGTGTAGTCGTATAATTTTTTAGGAATTTTTATATTGTCTTTGACTCGAATGTGAGCAAGGAGAAAACGTGGTGGATGCGGTGAACCTCGGCGTAGGGCAGCAAAGGGTTAAACATTTTACGTTTCATTTCACAGAACGCATAGTGACACTGTGTTTTTTTGTTTCTAGAGCAACGCGAACGTTATAGCGAAGCGCTGTTTGCATTTTCCATATTCCAAATACATTACACTTTTTTCTTTTTTCGTTTTTTTTCTTTCTTTTTCTTGGTTTTTTTCTAATCTACACAACTTTTGGTATATTTCAGTGGTGTCTTTATTTGATGATTGATACAGTTCTTCGTAATATCGGATAGGAAAATTGATACAACACGTATCACATTAAGAAGTGAACCATTCTCAAGTCCAATTGAACACTTCGTATATGAGTCTTCTTCAGACTGAGATGAATCAGAAATATTGACGGATTCGTCGGAGGTGTTGCTGCCAGAGTCGTGCTGATAGGATCAGAAAAATCCTCATTAAAAGTATCCAATGAACGTACGCTGGTAATCACATTACAAGTGCTCGAATTTGAAATAATTATCTTTCGTTGAAGTATTCAATTCAGAAATTTTCTGTGAATTACTCTGTGTTATGGAATTCATCTCAGCAGAATACTGCAAATTCTTACAGGACTTGGTCTGTTGATAGCTCTTCCATCTAGAATGTTCATCAAACATCTGCACAGCAATTGTGAGGATAAAAAGCTTATCCGGTAGGCTGTTCCACAAGTTAGTAATGAAATGGGAATATAGATCTACTTACGATGAAAGTTGAAAGAAAAAAAAAGGAAAAGAACAACCAAGAAGAAATGATTATTCCAAACCTTCACGGTTCCATTTGTCAGAACGTCATAGTGCCACTGTGCTATTCTGTTCCCCGAGCGAAGCGAACGTTTTAGCGAAGCGCAGCTTGCATTTTTTGAAAATTGATAGTGGGTGTACGCGTAGCTCTGTGATATGTAAGATGTAGCATATTTATAGATCTACCTATCGTGCATCATGATTAAAATAAGGAAACGTATCTTATCAGTTTTATACGTGGTATACAAATCATGTGATCCTAAATGACGTGTACTGCGAGAGTTGTTTCAATTTTTATGTTTGCCGTGCGAATTCGTGTATTATCAAGGGTGAAGAACAAGAGGGTTTTGAGGGAGGTGTTAGTAAAGAAAAGGATTGAAAGATTGAAACGTGTATTATTTCTGAGCGTTCTTCTGTTCATGAGTATCTGAGTTTTCTTTATTTTCGTTATACTATAGTCTGACAAATTCATCTCCTATTACAAGCAGATATCAAGCGTTAGACAAAGATGTTCGTCATTATTTTTTTTTCTCTCATATATCGTGAATCTGTTTTCTTTCTATTTTGTACGTTTGTCTGTTTGTTAAGATATATAGTCTTCTAATACTTGCGTGTTTGTCGTTAACAGAGGAGTCTTATAGTGAAACTACACTGCTGCGAGTTTTTTTTTTTTTTTGTTAACTTTTTTTTTCTACTTTTTGTTTCTTTGTTTCATCTTTTTTTTTTTAAATACTCGCGTCAAACGGAACATTTGTGAATCCTATGTTTATTTACAATCGTACTTTTAAGTACCAAATGGTCGTGGGGAACTGTTACACGTGTACTTTTCCCGTAGCAGGGCACGTGGTAGAGTTCACTTCTAAAGAAAGCAAGGTTGTATTTTCGAAGATCACTTTCTCCTTACTAGTCGACGATATTCATTCTTCTTTTTTTTCCCCCGTTTTGTGTACTATAATCCAGTTTCGTTGTGCTGTTAGGAAACGTCCATTCGATCGTATAGTTTGTTTGTTTTTTTTAAAACGCAACTTCCAACGAGATCAGTCGTCTTTAATTGTTGAGATTCCTTGGAAGGAGAGAAAATCTTGTCCTGTTATCGTTGCTAATGAGACATAAATGGAGAACATCAGTGAACTCGATTGTCTCGGTAAAATGTATTTCCAATGAAAACGTGTAACACCTGTATATTTCCTACCAGTTTCCAACAGTTGATGAATTAGAGGAGAAGGGAAGTAGTTTTCAAGATATACCTGTGTGAGACACGCCTTCCGTCTGTCGATTAAAAAGGGGTTCGAAAAACCATTCTCGTGGAATCTTCATGTTTGCATTAGGAAAAAAAAAGAAAAAGCACTTGTTCAGATCACGCTGATTGACCAGGTCGAACTTGAAATCTTGTATTTATTCGCGTAAACACTAATTTGTTGTTTTTCCCTTGATGAAGAAACAAGAAAATAAAAAAGAGAAGGAAATCATGGAAAAAAGGTCAGAAAGACGGTAATTGGCATAGTTCTCCGCGCTGTAGAATCGATCGAAAACAATATATGACGTCGAGTTAACGTGCTGAAAATCGTTGATGACTAACATATAGCCTCGGGAACACGAGTACCTTTTTAATGATTAATGCTGAACGCTGTGATATCGCGTACATAAACATTTTTATTATTATAAACGTAATTGTGCATATTGTAATGTTAAAGAAGATAAAAAAAAAATGAGGAAGAAGATGAAGAAGAGTACTATTCTCCTTTATATGTGAAGACTGAATCTCGCCAACTTATACACAGGTTTAGCAGCCACAGATACGTTCGTATACTGTCTAGACTACAGATAGACTATTTGTACATTATTAATTGTAACAATATGTTTTACGTGGGTAGTGCCGTAAATGGAGACGGTACTATTATGTTATAGTTCGATAACGGGTGCGTGTTCGTATTGTGCATTTTTTTATTGAGAGTTCTTAATATCTCTGGTGTGTCGTGAATCGAGAAATTCGCCAGACTTTTCGCGTTTACTTTTCCGTAGATGTTGGAATAGTTGCACGATTCTGGTTTCCATATTCTTTATCATGTTGTTTCTTTTTTTTTTCCGTTCGCAATTTCGTCCGATTATATTCAAATCGAAATGGGTGGATTTCGATCGAGAATGTGCAAAAACAAAGAAAAAGAGAAGCGTTTACTTGGTTCTGAAAAAAAATAAAATAAAACGATTGCTTGCCACGTTCGTTCATTTCGATTTATCAATTAGATCGTTCGTGAAAACAAAAAAAAAAGGGACATTACAACAGCAACAACAATAAACAACAACAAACATAACAATCCGTTTCATGGTAGTTCCTATATTGCATTCTTCTTTGTAACGTGAATGGATTGCTGCTTTAAATTTTTGCTAAGATGAGTCAAAAAATGTTCACATACATTTTTTCTGCGTATCGTTCTGTTTGGTTCAGATGAAACTTGCTAATATTTTATTGGTGTAGTCACATGTGTGCATTGCCAAGTCTGTTAATTATTGTTTCTGCGTTTCGATTGTTTACCGTAACATTAATTATATATATCTTCCGTGAATTAACGAAAAAACGTACCAGAGATTGTTGATAGTTTTTCAAACTATGGTTATATATGGCGGTTATGGTTTTTAATCTCGTGTATGTAAAGAAGTACGTTCTCCTTACGGTGATATGTGTATTGAAAATTTGGTATCGAAATGGAGGAGAGAAAAAACAAACGCGAATACGATTTGTCGAGATATTAATTTTCACGAGAGCTAAATTCGTAATTTACACCTCCTTTTTATAAACATTCGAAACAAGAGTAAAAAGATGACGATATCGATCACATCTCCTACAAGAAGTTATATCGAATACTATGTTCATTTTCTTTTTGTAACAAATTCGATCACTTCGTAATATCGAATGTAGAGACTTGTTAGTGTATGCATGAATGTCGAACACTGCACACTGTACAACAAAATTTACTGTGCAAGCTTTTACGGAACTGTGAATTCAAATACAGTTTACGATTCAGATATTTATCATTTTTAATAATGCGTCTCGTAATGATGGTACATATTTAAGCCTGGGCTATTTAATGAAAAAGAAAACTAAAGTAAAATAAAAGGGAAACAGTAGCTTCAATCGATCTTAATGTGTGCTGAGACCTTCGAATCAACAAATCTTATAAATCTCGTCTGAACGTCGACGATTCGATTAACGAACTCGAATGCGTACTGAGATACATATTGCGTACCGATCAGTAAATGGGTGCACAGAATAACGTTGAATCCTCTAGAACGGTGTACAATGTACGAATTGATTTCATAATTTGTATATCATGTTCAAGAGTTTTACGTTGAACATTTGTAAGATTTGTTAAATCTGTGCGTACACCTGTTTTCATAGTTAACTATATATTTCTATGAATTATATACGTATTTCATTTAATGTACGTTTAACCCTCTTGCTGGAGTTCATTGAAATTACTACTTGTATATCGACGTTTACTTAAGTACCAACTGTAACAATTTAGTTTTCTATATAATTTTCGGTGTTTAATCGCTGAAGTAACGACGGTGATTCATTGGTAAGCATTTGTTGCGTTCTAATAGTAAGTCCATTAATATTAAAAAAAGTAATCACTTTTTTGCGTTTTTATTAATTAGTTACTAACATATTAGCGATAAGTGTATAATCCTAACTTAATACGATAAGCTAAATTGTGTATCTTGATGAGGTGTATTAAAACAAAATACATTGAATGCAGAGCTTTGTCAGTCAGGCAGAATTTCTTTCGAATCTAACAGCAAAAGGGTTAAATCTTATGAAAATATTCCGAATCTAATGTAGTAAGGAACAGTACATTATTCACACATTTTTTCTTTGTACGAACGTTCGCATATTCCACGATTTATTCTTAGATCAGTGAAACATACGAATCCGTCGTACTTCGTCTTTCTGAGAGCGCGTAATATTTTATAATTGAAAATATCTTTGAACATATTTTTCGAGTTGGAAATTGTTCGAGCGACAATTCGATCTGTACGAGCATAATTGCTACGGTAAATCATCCCGTGTTATACAAATATAACATATACAACACGTTGTTTCGAGCGAATCGTTAAAACTTGTTAATTCATTAGGTCACGTAGGGAAACTTAAGCAGTATAGCGTGACGCCATGTTAGTCTCGCGTGACACCTAACCTCTTTAGGTAGAGATCAATAAGCGAGCGAGATTTGGTATGACTTCCAATTTAGGTAAATAACTGAACGGTCTCTCGTCCTTGCCAGCTTGGCCTTCGATTTCGTATAACTGAGCTAATCTATGGTAGAAATGAATTCCCATAAAATAACGATACATCGATCGTCATATGTATTTGCTGAAATTGCAAGGTGCTCGTTGATCGTATTCTCGGTCGACCAACGTGTGAAAAACGTCTCCGCGGTAACTGTGAAGGTTCCAATCATATACGATACTCGTATTAAAAATGGTTCATTCTTCCGAACGTGAAGCACCGAGGCGAAGTCAAAAAACCGTGAGGAGGTTATAGGAATTATACATGATCGTCGCCAGGAAACGCAGTTACAGCACGGTAGACTTCCTGTTGTTGTAATAGTTCATTTGTTGATGCGTCTGTTCTGAACGCGCATTAGGAAGAGGAAACGGTATGAAAAAAAAAAAGGATAAAGAGTGTAGTGTTGAACGAGAGAGAAAGAGAGATAGAGCGAGAGAGAGGGAGAGAGAGAGAGAGAGAGGAAGGAATAAACATACGCTAAAAATGTAATATGCTAGATCATGGGGAGAAAAAATGGAAACGTTGATAATTTAGTATGCGTGATTTTAGTCGTTTCTACGAGACCAGAAAGGTTGAGAGCTCGGACCGCCGCTGGTGTCGGGGAAAAAAAAGGTGTACATTATAAAATACAAATAGGTATTCTCTTATTACGGCTTCATTGATTCATCACGCCTTACAATATGAAAGAGCTCGGCCAAAACTTTCATCGAGAGATGTGTATGCAAGATTGCGAACACTTCTTAGATTCGAAACGAAGAAAAAAAACAACAACCGCTCCTTGGTCGTCCTCGAGTAAGTTGATACAAGCGTTTTGCTAGAATTGTTCAAACTGCAGCACAGAAGACGGCATACAACTATATTGCATTCTTGTTGAGTAAGGGTATGCGAAAGAGGCATGCAAGGATATATATTTGCGTCAATTTTATGCGTAAAAATACATTTATCAGTTCT